AATGTGAAAAAAAGAAAGATAGACAGGAAATTTACTTCTTCTGGATCCCAGCGTTAAAAGAATTCTAAATAACCCTAAAAAATGAACTCTGTTAGTGGTATGTAATCTCATTAGTACAATACAAAGCTGTCAACAAAAATTTATATGATTACATGCAAGACAATCATACAACATATATACATAAAACCGTGAGTACTACTTAAAAATGAGCTAGTAAATAAATATATGTATATCCTTTCCTAATTAAACCTCCGTGCACTTGCCTTCATTGTTTGCTTACTTCTCTCCTTATAAATCTGATATATACCATTTTTACAGCAGGGCTTTGTCATATAGACAATCTAATATTTCCATGCTTACATTAGAGTGTTATGAAAATGTAAAAATAAGTAGGAAACTGTCTTCAATACACATTAGCATCCAAAAAAGAAAACAAAAGGTGTGGTACTACAATAGGTAACATAAATAAAATACAAAAGTATTAGTACTCCCTCACCTGGAAGACTGTGTTCAGTGCTCACCACCCTATCTCAAAAAAGACATGGCAGAAACAGCAGTTGAGCAGCTGGTAACCAGAACGGTTATAGATCAGGACTTAGACTTCAATGTAAGGAGACATTAAAATACCTGGACTGCAGGTTTAGAGAGGAGACATGACAGAGGAATAGAGATAATGAATGATACAGAAATGGAAAGTCAGACCCAGTAGTTTTGTTAATGCTGGGAGAAAGCACTTTACAGGATGAAAAGCAAGAACTTTCAGCCTGAAATAAAGAACACACCTATGGTTACCCCCCCCCAAAAAAAAAAAAGGCAAACAACACTTTTCTTACAGAGAAATAACACTAAATCTTAATCTCTCAAGGTATTCATATAATCCATATACCACTCACAAGAGGAAAAAACCCCCTTATTTTATTCCAAAAACAATGGTATGAAATAGCATGAATGACTAGTGTGACTGAGGCCTGTCAGAGAAGTCAAAGCTGAGTTATGCTGAATGACTTACTGAACTACTAGACCTTCTGTGTGAGATGAATTCACAACCAAAGCCTCTTTGAAGGACTGCTCACTGATTTTGTTGTGATATTAAGTAGTTTCTTTCTGGTCAAGATCTAGTCTTTTAAAGGTTTCTTTCAATATTTCAGGATACCAATAGAGAACAGAACAGCTATCAAGTGATGCCAGATCCACAACAACCTCTGGGTGTTGTTTGGGTTCCAAAAAGTGCAAAAGTTTTGGTTTATTTTCTTTATCCATGGGGATTCACTTTGCACTTGCTGTCAGTACACCAGAATGTGGCAACACATAGGTGGTAAAATGCCAACATTTTATATTTGCTTATAAAATTATATATCTATTCCTCAGTATTTTTTACAGTGACTGTTGCCTAGAAACGATTTTAATAGAACATAACAGACTTTGATTATAAACCTATTCTCTATTAAACTGGACTTTTATCAGCTCAGCAAAATACAAAGGCATGTTGTTTTATATGGAATCAAAAATGTTTTACAAACAGAGGATTTGTTATGTACGTATAATACAATATTTTTAATCAATTGCTTGGGGAGTGTGTAGGTATGTAAATGAAAATTTCTTTCTAAAAATAGACATGCAAAGTGTAAACCTAAGTGTACATAATAATGTAACAAAATGCAATCTAAATCACATAATTTTGCAACTTGTGTGTTGCACCATGAAATGCTTAATTATAGGTTGCACTAACAATGAAAAACCATAGGGTCTTCAAGTCACTTAATGAAAGGAATTTGGAACAGAAATTAATGGCCTTACAGGTTTCTATGTCATTAAAAGAAATGCCACTAACACAGAGGGATCAGACAGGGTCAACACTTACCCCATATTATGTGAAGGGGAAAGGGAAGAGACATTATTAAAATAATGTGGGACATTTTGATGGAGCAGAAGCTGCAAGCAGCAGTTTACTGTAGGAGAAGCCAGCTGAACGAGCAGGGGCAAAACATAACAGCTGGTGTCTCCTTTAGAATTCTTTATCTCTGCACATCTCTCTCTCTTGAATAGAGGCAATACCCTGAAGCAAACAAATACAGGAAAAGCATAGGAGAAAGGATGGTCATGCTTGCAGAGGCAGTAGCTGTCCTTTCTCAGAATCACATGGTAAGAAAAAAGAGAAAAGACTAGAAATAGAGAAAAAAATACCCATCAGATACTTTTGGAGGTGATAAGAAGGACAGTGTTCAGGTTAGTGACGGGCTGGACAAGTCTCTTTATACTGTCTTCTCTTGTTATATATCCCCCTTTCAGCCATGTCCAATGGAGCTATAAAATCAGTGTTACATTTTTCAAGTTTTAAACTGCTATCAAGCAGCACATTTGATCTTCTCCTAAATCTTTTAATATCTTGGTTAGAATTGAGATGCTCATTCTTACTCCTCAAATCAAACATCAGCTAAGATCACCATTACCTAGATGTATCTGTCTGTGCATTAGATGTTTAACTTGTGCCTACATTAGCAGCCAGTTGCTATGGCTCTTGTTCAGCCAGACATCTACAGGACAAGTTGTTGCCATCTGGAATGTGCTTTTGACTTCACTTGATTATATATCCTTTAATTCTTTAAGTTCAGCACATATTGACAAACCCTTAAAAAGTAGCTTCTTAATAAGAATGCAATAATAAGATGAAAGATTCAGGTAAAGAGGAGATACAGAATTTATTAAACATAAACTGATGCATGGTTTTTATTAGCTGGCTTGCTTCTGTTTCACAATTCAGTAGAAAGAATGTCTAAACATGGCAGTTTCTGCCCTTCAAATTCCATGACAGCTATTTGAAAAATATTAGCAACAGTAGACTGGTAGCTTCAAATTAATGAAGGAAATTAAATCCTTTACTGAAATTAAATTCACCATGCTAATTGTTTTCTATGTTGTTTCAAAAAAAATATTTTGGTGAGAAGTATTCACTGGTGAATTTACAGTATTCACAGTATTCTGGTGAGAAACATTTAGCTCATACAAAACTGAGTCCTTATTTCACTAACAGGAATAACAATTTTCTCCTCTCCCTTCTCTATGACTTAAAATATGAAATGACTGGCCCACCTCCTAAGGGACTGTAAATAAATTTGCATCCTTTCCTCTGAACCTGATAAAAGAGTATTAAGGCAAGTGTGATGATGTTTTGATGATCATCATCTGTACCCTAGGAATTGGACTAACTCCACAATGCTTTGCACTATGTAAGTAACCAGCAGTTAAGTAACAGTGTTCATTCACGTTGCAGAAACCCTTCACTTCTTAGGCAAATTCACTTACAGACAGAATAATCTCATTCTTATGATATCTTCATAAGATCTTCATTCTTAGAATATCCTGATTATCACATTATCCATGCACAGCATCAAAGGACGGAGGGGGGTTGTGCTTTATGTCTCAGTTGCATTTAGAATCTTATTTTTTAATTATTAGACATAGAGAACAGTAATCATTATTCATAGAATTGTATGAAACTAGCTTAAGGCATGACTGTAATACAATGTAAGGCTGCAGCAAGTGTTAAAACCATATTAAAATTAAAACCATAACACAGTTACTTGGTATAAACTACTAATACTCTCTATAGTCTATGTGTAATGCCTGATGCTCATGTAAACATGTGTTTATTGTAACTACAACCCCCTTGAGCTTTTTCTCTCTTTAACCCTTATGTTCTGTTCTGTCATAAATCAAATCACAAAATGACTACAATTAAGGATCTCTCCTTCCACTGCATTATGTGGCAAAACAGAATCCTGATCACACCTGTGACTCCCAGTCATCATGAAATAAATAACTGATACAAATGATAAAGGGATACTTACCAGGAAATACAGCTCCTTTTAAATATCCAATAACGTTAGAAATAGTCTTGTAAGTTGTGACTGACTGAATATTCAGACTGATTATTTTTTTTCCTGTTAAAAGATTAAAAAAAAAAAAAGAGTTAAACTTGTTTATCTAACCAAGAAATCTACAGAACACAGAAAAAATTCCACATATATTAAAAAAGGTAAAAAAAAAATAAAAAAAAGATTAAAAATAAAATTATACTGAAGAGGAACCAGAGATTAAAAAATGTAGTATTACATTAATTTTTTTTTTAGACCTGTTTTAGCTGTGTGGTTCAAAGCTGGAATCTCAAAAGAGATCTCTACTCTTTGAGTTTAAAGATCATTGAATTTGTTCAATAAATGTTGCCAGAATACACCAGGGGAAAAAAAAAACAAACCTTAAATGAGTAGGATTTACATACTTCTGTAAATATGAAATTTGTGTTACTCTTTATAGGTTTTTCTCAGCTGATCCTTCACCCAGGTCAATCCATCAATAACATTCACAAAATTTTACCTGGTTTCTATTACACTTTCTTCTGGAGAAACACCCCTATGTTAAATCAGATGGGAACAGTTAGACCTCTCCATTACTACCCACACCGCCAGCCCAGCCTTTGGTGATACACTTCTGAACTTATGCCAACAGAAGTCAGTTTTTTTGGCTTTGCTGGTATCAACTGAGGAAATAATAGGCAGGAAAATTTTAAAATCTGCTAAAACATAAGGGACTTGCCAGTATTGCTCAGCCAGTTGAGAGCGTGGCACAGAATAAAGCCAGGGAAAAGTAAATGTCTGAATTAAAATAGCTTTAAAAAATTAACTGTCCTCTGCCCTGCAGTGGGACAGAGTAACCACACAAACTCCTGCAGTTTGTGACAAGGGAAACCAAACAACTACCTTCCAAATGTTTCATTTGCATTATAATAGACTTTGTTAACATTCATCTCATCTGAAAGGTCATAACTTCTATCTGAGAAAAATGAAAATGTCTTAAGCTGCTCTAACTTCAAAGGTAGCAATTGTGTGACAATAATCAGTGTGTCACCCCAGACACTCAGGGAAGGTCTCTTCCATCCAGGTATCCACCACCCCCCTGTGTTTAAAGGCATCTCTGAGACAGAATTCCTTCCATGTCCATACCCCAACTGTCACACACCTAAATTAAAATAATCCCCTGATCATTTTGCTCTCTATCTCCCAGGCTATTATTCTCCCACAGATCTATTCCTGACAATTTGTTTCCAGGCTTTGTTTCCCAAGATATGGGAAGCATACAAGTGGGGAGTTTACTGCAACATGTAAAATAAAACCAGTACATCATTATGATACTGTTCTTCAAGGTTCATTTGCTGATACTTGATGTTAACTTGAAAATTCTCTTAAAATAAAATCTAATATATTTTAATTCACAAGTATTCATTTACCATTGAAAAAAGCAAACCAACTGTTAGGATCTTTGTTGTAAAAAAATGTACCAGAAATATTATTCTGTTTTTCACTCAGGCAAGACCTCCTCTGTTATCAATAGACGTGTTCTGCTTTTGCTCGAATACAACATGAAAGAAAATGCAAGTCAAGCAAGTTAATCAAAAATAAACCACAGATCATGATTTTTCAATAATCAATCACAGCAAGTTAATTTTGATTTGTCATGCAGTTAACTTTACCTTTCTGACGTAAATTACTGTAAGGTTTATTAACACCATGTGATGATGAATCGTGTTTGTTCTATAAATCCACAGATAATATTTTAGAATTTTTAAAAAGTATTTGATTTAAAACAAAAAAAAATTATCCAAAGGGTTCCCAAAGGGTCTTTCAGAAAAATGTGAGAAGAGCTCAAATCATCCATGTTGATTAAGCAGCTTAAATTTAATCCAAACTATGCAACTTACTTCTTGCTGCTGATTCTCACCTACAACCACTCTAGAGCCAATTCAGTCTTCTTGAAAAATAGTTTTAAATTCAAAACTGATTTCCTTTCCTTTTCTTACAACACTTCAGATACTCATTTCTTTGGGCTCCACTTCAGAAAAAAAGATTAATCCTTTTGAAGACAACCAACTTCATTGTTTTTCCTTAACTGACATCAGCTATCCAGTCTTCAACCAACAATGAAGAAACAGAAAATTAACTTCTGGCAATACACCATATTCTAGAATCAGATATTTGAGTTAATAGTCATGTAACACAGTAGTCAGCTTAAAGTGACTTGGGCTTAAAGGCTTAGTACATCAGATGAAAAGGCTGAAAGTACTCTTCAGAGTACACAGCAGAAGCAAAATTTAATCCCTTTAAAGAGTTCTGACAACAAACCTCTCTTCCTTATGCTATAATTTAAAGATCTTGCCATCTTTCTCTTGTTTTTTTTCTGTATTCTCTGGAAAACTATGAGGAGACTTTAACTTAACATGATTCAGGATACACTTTGAGTATATGTAAGCCAAAAGCTACTTCTGAAACAGAAGAAATGTATTAATTGTTATTTTTAATTTCTTTCTTTTGTGATTTGGAACTGTAAATTGTCTCATACCAAATGACTACCTTCTCCTCTCCTATTTACACAGTTATTTTTAGAAATCATGGCTATTTCCCATTCATTTGACTGACAATTTTAGTACTCCAGATGAGTAAAAAAAAATCTACTTGCAGTATCTATGTTAAAACACACCATGAGTTATGTCTTGTTTCTTTTTTTGTTTGTTTTTAACCTCATCCCAAGCTCATACAAACAGAGAGGAGTATAAGTTTGAGCCTCACTTTCAAACATATTGGTTAAATTCTTGAATCCTGATCATGCTAAATGCCTATAATCAGACAGTTTTCTGAGCATTGCTTTGAGTACTGAATTTTGAAAAGTATCTTTGGGGACTTGGGTTCAAAAATTGAACTAATTTGACGAGATTTTTGCTATTCATTTAAAAAAATTCCTGACATCACATTTAGCTCCAGTACAGAAGCACTGAGAACTAAACTAATTCAAGCATTTCGATAGCTCCTGGATCATAAAACCAGAAGTTATTTCAGAAGACTGCAGAAATAAGGTACACTGAATGTAATGCAGTTTTCAATATACTTCTGTTGAAATCAACACAAACCACACCTGAATAAACAGACATCAGTCTGAAATCACAATTAAACTAAAGATTTCAAACTTCATCAAACATCCATGGCCATGTAACTAACTTAGGGGGCACAGAATAAGCTGAAATAGTCATAATAATACTAAATTTGACAGATTTCTTGTTCCAGTCATTCAGAAACCTTACACTAGGCTTTAAAAACTCAACTTCTAACTTTTTGACCACACATTACCAAGCTTTTCAGACACCCCTGAAGGCCAAGGATTCCTTTAAAAATGAAAGCCACTGTTTTTATTAAGTTATTTGCCCCAAGAGCAGAGGTTTGTAAAGTAATATCAAATACCACAGAACATGATGGTAGAATAAGAACTAACTGCACTCAGTGTAGAAACACAGTAAGCTATTTATATGTAACCAATAATCAAATATATCATAGATTTCCTATATTCTATTGGTGATACTGTAAAAAATAATATGGCCTGGTATGCAGTTTTTGGAATACCCTGTTAATCACACAGGTATGACAAGTAAACATTAAAACATATATAACACCAGATTTTACTGTAGTTTGAAACAAATGCTTTATTTTCACTAGACATTTTCTAGAATAATTGAGTAAAAATTCCAAACTACTACTACCATCTTAGACTGCCTAGTTAACGGGCTTTTAAAATCTCACTGAACTGTGAAAAACATATTTCAGTTAGTTCTCAGTGTTTCATCATGTCAATTTGAGTGCAAAACCTTATCTACTACATATTTTATGTCAGTTTTCAATTAAGTTCAAACACAAAACTCTAAATGAAGAACTGTAATCATCATAAGCATTTATGTAACATCAGAACTTACATATAAAAACACTATATGCAACATAATGACATACTTAGAAAAGTGAATAAACATAAAATAGTATATACCTAATAATTTAAATAATCTCTGAAAAAATATTGTGAGACACTATCAAATTGCATGTGCAAAAGTCAATACTGAATTTACGCAAGGTACAGCACTGTTGAATTATAAAATTATTTGCACAGGATCAAACCTCCAGGACAGATGTCCTGTAACAGAGAGTCTTTAGCGATTTGGGTTTTTTTCTTTGGTGTTTGTTTGTTTGGTTTTTTTTGTTTGTTTGTTTGTGGGGTTTTTTGTGTAAGCAGTGCACCATCTAGATACAGTCTCTTTGAAATCTGGTATCCCTAATATTTTTCTCTAATAGATTTCTATTTGATTAACCAACTATGTTGCCTACTAACAATATATCCCCTTTTTTAAATGGATATTCATAGATCTTGAGTTTCCAAGCCAAATCTTTGTCTGAAGAGCTTAATGAATAAATTTCTTGCTATTTGATTATCTTTTCTGACCTACAATGAGGAATCCAGAAATAAAACTATTCAGATTAAGAGCTTCTGAAAATAAGCAATGTCTAGAATAAAGTCCTTTAAGAAGGCTTTAAACTGGGATGGCTTAAATGGGATACAAAATCAATGTGTCAAAGTTAGTACCAAAGAGAGCTGAAAACGCTTCATATGGTACAGTTGAATTTCATAACCTCACACTATTTTGACAGTTTCTTTACCTGCTTTACAGCAATCAAAACCAAAGCATCACATAGAAAAACAATGGCAGAGAACACAATTATGAAAATATACCTCGACTGTTTACAGTTCTGGTAGAAAAACTCTTGAGGCTTCAGGTGGGAGTAGAGAGAAGATACATAAAAAATGCTTCTCACTGTTCATGCTTATTTCATTCCATGAACTTAAAGAACAAAATTTAAAGCAATCATGAAAAGAAAATCTGAGAGTACTGGTATAAGTGTCTGTAAATTTTCATATCTAGTATATCTGAATTAGATCAGACTTCCCTATTTAACATGTACTTCTTTGAAATGGCAGTAAGAGATACCTGCAGAACACTGTTATATTCCTATTGTTATGTACAGTGACTTCATATCTTGTAGATACAGTAACATGCACTGCCACACATTATGCTGGCATCTTTCTCTATTTGTTTTCTTGGATTCATGTTTAGCATAGCCCAAGCACCTAGAAATTATGGGATTGTTTGTGCACTGGTATCACAGTGTATGATGGCATGGCCAGAGTTTATTAAATATGGTGCCCTTTCTTTTCTCTGACAGGTAGCAAACTATGAAGGAGAAACACATATAACAAGAGCACAAGGCTGTAGCCTAATAGGAGGAGATATATATCCTTTTCATGCCCTTCCTCTGACTGAATAGAAGACAGGCTTGATTTGCACTAGTGCACCACTTGGCAGAGAACTTTGTCTTGGATGATGATCGTGTAATATGGAAACTACAGGATTCTTCCAATTAATTATTGCTTTTGTGTAATTAATGGTTCAAACTTCACATGATCAGAGTTGACTAAAAACTCAGTATAGTAAACATCTGACATGTGGAACTGTATAAAATAGATGTTTAAAGTATTATAAAAATTCTTCTTTATGTTGTGCTACAAACCTTTTCAGTAAGTCACTTCTGGTTATCTGATCCACTCTCCTTTTTTGGCAGAGGTGGATTTGTTTGCAGCCTAGAATGTAGTCTTGCATTGCAGTCACTATGATGATTCAGTATTGATCAATGACTGTATTTTTTAGGCTAAAAAAAGTTACAAAAGATTAAAAGGTTCTACCTAAAAAGCATTTAGATCTGAGTAATTTTACTCGTTGTAGCAGAATCCTGTGTCTTTGTATAGGTGGCTCTCTTATTCACACAGTGTTTGATATCATTCAAGTTACTCAAACTATTTATGCTTTGGTTTTACTATTTTATAGGTTAAAATATAAAAAGAAATGACACCTAGGTGTCAGCAAAAGGGATGTAGAGCTGGTAAGAAATGGGATCTTCTTCTGCGTATGTTAACTCCATTGATATTTTCTGAAATAATACACCTTTAATAATCTTGGTCGATCTATACAAAGAGAGAAATGGGGTTGGATTTAAGCATCAGTTGGCTAAAGAAACTTAGAAGCCCTTAGGTGAGATCACAGCATGAGTGATCCTTTAAGTGAGATCGACACACTGCTTGCATTATACTTCCTGTCATTTGAGTTCTATTGCCCAGGAGTATTAGGTCAGACCAGCTGCCCATCTAGTCCTTATCTCCAAGAGTGACCAACAACAAAAATGTGGAAAAGAATGGAAGAATAGGATGATGCCACAGACACCTGGACACTGATCAATAGTTAAATCCTTGATCTTTCTTATCTTCTGTCTTCTCAGATACGAGAAGTATGAAAACCAACACTTAAACCAAACCAACACTTAAAACCAAAGAGAAAAATTACTTACATATTACTCGTGTTTTTAACTACCAGACCTTCAGGTTTTCCATTTAACAACAAAGTATTTGGTCACTAGTGGCAAAAAAGGACTTTTTAAATTAAATCCCACTAAACAGATTTAAATTAAATACTCAACAGATTAATTGAAAAGGGATGATTTTCACCTGACTGAAATCTACCAACTGGCAGGTAACTTAAAAAACAAGGACAGTTCACACACAGCAGGATTCTCTTCATTTACGTTTATAGGAGTGCTTTTGTTTTACAACCACCTTCACAACGTTCTAACAATATCCTACTAATATCCTATAAAAAAAGGAAAGCTTCAAAACTTTACAGCTTCTCTATAAAGCTTCACTCAAACTCCTTCTAATTGCCTATTTTGGAGAAAAAATTCATGGATTCAGATTCATGAGGATTAACAACAACTACCTTGCTACACAAAAAGCAAATCTAATTACTAACTTCATCTAATACAAAACTAATAACTAACTTCAATTCCCACTATTTGCTTTGTAGGCTCTGAGCAGTCAATCTATCTCGGATGTTTGTTCCATATCCTCTCACTCACTCTGTCACATTTTGTCTCTTGAAAACTGCAAGGCTAAGGGGAAAAAGAGGCAATATGAGAAAACTATATATAAATGTTTAATCATTACTGATGAATCTGCTGTTCAGTTTTTGGAACAGACTGATGAGAGAATGATGATCATTTTATCCTAACAAATTTCAAGCCAACCAATCATCTGAATTGCTCATTCCCCTCTTTTGACAGATGAGTGATGAGTTCTACGTCAGAAGTGAAATCTCTCTCTTAAGCTTCTTCAAATCAACAGGAAGACTGCAAATTCAACCTTCACTGTTTTCAAATGCCTTGCTCTCTTCAGTGTTATCTCTTTAGTTATTACTCTTATTAAACAGTTCTACACAATTTCTTATCATAAGACGAGTTTTTTATCTCTTCCATTAAGGCTGCTACTGAACACTTCAGCACACTATATGCTCCAGCACATCCATAGTTTCACCATTACTTCAAGGCAAAATACATCATAAAACATTGCAGAATTATACAAGGCTTCTTATTATAGTCCCTATTTTCTCAATAAATTAAGAGTTTAAAAAAAAATCCCACATGGATTACTGTGGTTCAGAAGCTTTACAGGAAATCAGACACAGCCTGGACTGGCTCTTACTAGCCTTGGAATAGTCTTTCCAGAAATTTTCCACCTCACAGAATACCTGTCTTCTCAGTGAAATAAAACAGAAATGCCACACCAACCAGTCACAGAAAAAGCAGAATAAGTCACCCTTTAGGTGATTCTGTCCTGCAGCCTCCACAAAGAGCTTTTTGAGAAACATTCACTGTGAATGCTTTTATCCTTCTAAAATGAGTGTCATTTGCCAGGCCAAATTCATGCTTTCCTTCAGGCACTTCAGCTGTTTAAAATTCCAACAATACCAGCAAGCTTCACACATCCTACCTGGAACAGTAAAGCACTTCCTCCTTCCAAAATGGCCTTTCTCCATTTTCTACTGGTTGTGGGGACGATCAGTTAATCTTTAAAGTATCTAGTCAGCCATGCATGGAGAGCAATAGTCCTGCCTAACCATAGCAGCTTAAGCCATGAAGCAGGAGGTCTTCTGCCTCCCTGTTTAGTATGTATAACTACAAATGCTAACACAAGTCATAAAATTAATCAACCTTTTTTATGACTTGTTGTATTGCACTGCTATTCCACAATAACTTTCCAAAAGCAATAAACAAGTGATACAGTACACACGTGATAGTACATTGGTTTTCCTTAAAATTAGCTTTTACTGTTGTCATCGCTGTTTGTAGAACAGGATACAGTGGCTAACTTAATCTGCTTCCTCCCCTCCAAGACCACAGCTTCAAATCATTTCATTTAAACAGGCATTATAAAAAAATACACCTTTTTTTTTCCTGCATTTTTTTTTATGGTGAAAGATGGATAGGTACCAAACAAAAATGAAGACAGAATTACTGAACATGCATCTCATCTAGAACGTTCTCTGGAAGCTGTTCCTTCATTGAAACACTGCAGTATCTTTGCTGGAAGACTGTATCCTTATTTTTTTCCCACAATAGCAATAAGTTTGTTCAAGCACTAATCTGTGTGACTTTGCTAATGGCATTATATCTAAATATATACTCTGAATGCATTCTTTCATTTCATCTATCTCTACTCAAGGTCTTTTATTCTTATCATCAGGACCATTCTTCTGGTGAAACCTGGAGAAAAAGGTGCCTGAAGGTTCAGATAACAATACATTGTTTATTCTATACCAGATACAAATTAAGGAATACAGAGAGACATATCACTGTTAAGAATTACAGTATTATTGTACAATAGACAGGAAAAAACCTATACAATAATACTGTTCTTGGTGCTTTAATGTTAAAATCACATTCTTTATAGTACAGTAAGTCCTAAAAACCAATTAACAAAACCTACCTAGTGATGGTATCTACACAGAGGAGGTTTTACATCAGTATTAAGAATTAGTGCTTAATGTCTTATTCTAAGATAATTACTTGGTTTTTTAAACCAAAGCTTCCATCTGTCAGATTTTAGGAGCATAATTTTTAGGCTGTTCATAGTGCCTCCTAGAAAGCAGCTCAGCAAAACATACTCATGACCAGCTAAACCTCTTAGTTGTATACAGTTACAGAAAATGGATTTGGAGTCCTTGAGGAACATTCCATAGTTAGAGGGAAAGTGTACTTAAAAAGCATTACCTGTAGGTGGCAGCTGGAGGGGTGTACACCTATCTTTTTGGACACTGTCCTCAGGTAAGGAAACAAGTTTTCTGGCAAGCATTGCAGAAATTGGTTGTACTAACAGTGTTGTGAGGTTCAGTCGATTTTGCCTGTAGCTTCCATCTTAAAAAACGGAAAGAGAAGGGCAATTTTGTAAATGAAAATTAGATTTCAATCCATCATAAACCAAATAAACCCCACAAATCTCTATAACACAGCTTAAAACAACTGACACAGATAAGCAGCTGTTATTTGGTACTTACCTTATTGAAAAAAAAAAAAGTCTTTTCAAGACCATGTACCACAAAATTGCATGTGCATATTACAGTATTTGGGCAATAGTTCCACAAGAAAGAAGCTGACAAAGAGTCCGTGCAGATATTGGACTGTATGTGACTTAAACACACTAAATTAAATTGGTGTGTACTCAAGGAAACATTGAAAAATACAATTATAGATCAGAAATAACTTCCAAATTCGAGTAAAAATTGAACACAGCCTTACAGGGAAGAGCAGACATTTAAACTGCCCAGAATCATGTGCAAGTATCCATCTGCATTGAACAGTTATTACTGATTAGGCTTTATTTTGCCTAGAGAAGTTGTGCTATTTAGCTGACAAGAAAAACACCAAAAATGAGGCATGTTGATAATATACTGGCAATTTGATGAGATGTGCTTCCTTGCATATACCAGAAACCCTGAAAATTCTGATATACACCAACCTCTTTGAAAGGCTACAAACTGGTCACTTCATTGACTCAAAGTGGATTCAATGCAGTTAAAGTGACTCTCATGTATTTTATAAATGCAGGGGTGTTTCTGTGATGGGAAGTTGAAGGATCACATGAAGACCTGAAATAAGAGGGTACTACTAAACAGACACACACATCAAGTGAAGTAAGGTATGGATCAGAAAGTCACTACCTCATTTACAGCTTAAAGAACTTAAGAAGTCGTAGCACAAACCACTCAATAACAACAGATTCATGCAAATATTAAAATCTCCCTTCAACTGAAAAAAATGTGAGTTTCCACACACATCTATGTTTCTGATAAGACAATGAGATATTCTGGGAGACCAATTGAAAGAACTGGCAAAAGAAAACAGGCTAATTCTGCACATGGAAGTGCTCTGAAGCACTTCAGGACAAAACATCTCAGCTATTTCTTCTGGCCAATAGAGGTATCATCTCTTCCCATGGAAAGCAAGAACACTCTTGCAGACGAAAAGCCCACCATGGAAAGGGAGAGGACATTGATAGCCCACGGCAGGACACAGCTCCAGAACAACTTGCAACACTCTCAAAGCCTTCCAATATACCTGCCCCCACTGAATCATTTCCAGCATTCAACTAGAGATTCAGAATACAAGGCCTCCCTCTGAGACCTCCTGGAAACAAACACCATATTTTCTGTCAACATGGAGTTCTTTACTACTCAAAGGCATCCTTTACATCCTGTGTGACTGCAATCACAAAGGGAGGGAGCTATCAGAAATCAGCAGCACATGTTCTAATACATTTCTATAAAAATACTATTAGGATTGCTATTGCTGAAGCACAACATAAAAAAAAAAAAATCCAGTCACAACCTCCAGTTTTCATTCTTTTTATGCTAGAAACTCCTGAGACTTTTTATAATATGCCCTTAAGCATAATGTAAAAATTGACCAAAGCTGTATTATTTAAATATGGAAAAACAAAAACCATGGTTCAGCTTTAATACAAAGTGACAAGTGTTCACTTTGAAAGAATCAGGCAAATTTTTAAGTGGAAAGGTGAAACTGGCTCAAAACATTATAAACATGGTAAAATCAGTTTGCTCAGGCTTTGAGAGTCAGTTTCTGGAATCAAAAAACGCCCTAAAATGTCCTACAGAGATGGGGAATTGAGACATTATTTTCTGTGTAGTGTTTGTCAATCTGCAGACTGTATTAGAAGAGCAATGAGGCTCAAAATGTTTCAGATGAGAAGCATCTCTCCCTTCTCCAGTTACTCAGAATTTGAGCTTCACACCTGAATGAGCTTTGAAAGATACACTTTTGAGAACAACTTACAGGAGAAACCGCCCCATGTTTAAAAACTAATCATTTAACAATAGAAGATGGAATTTGATGTATGGGACAAATAGAAAAGAAATATATAAAAAGGCAGATTTAAGTTATCTGGGCAGATTTATCTGGAAGGAAAACTCTAATAGAAGGAGTTTATAAAGACCTACCTAGGCAGGTGATAAAATCTCTACAACTGAAATCTTTCTAAAGAAAAGAGTAATCAAACATCTGTCAGGAATGACAGAGATATGGCTGATGCCCTCCCTGAGGGAAGGTGCTGCATTAGATGACCTCTTGACATCTTTTCCAGGCCTGATTTCTGTAGAATTCTCCAGTAACTGAACTTCCTGAACCATTAAAAAAAAAAAAAGGCATTATTGGAACTAATATTAAAAAATACTTTTTTAAAAAAAGGAAAAGTGCCTCTTCCAGGCATGTAATAGCTGCCAGGAAAGTAGCCTGCTAAGAGGACTGAGGAAAGCTCTCTGCACCATGATCAGGTTTCAAAAGTGAAAGACTCAAGACCAATCCTCTCCAGTGCACACTTAAAAATCTGGAGATTTCCAGGGCTGCTAGTTAAAGCTCAAACATTCAGTTTTTAAATACTGATTGTGAAAAAGTGCAGTGCAACTTCATAAAGGAACCAACATATCAAAAGAAGTTTGAGATTCTTGCTGGTACTTTCTCTGCTGGATGCCAAACTCTGTGGAGCACAGAGTGCTTTCAGGATCTGTGGAAACAACAAATGCTTTGAGGATAATTTAAATTTGACATTTTGCTTGTAATGAAATTTAGTTTTATAGCATGAAACTCTTCCAAGAAACAGAATTCCTTCTCTGCAAGTCTAACAATCTAACCGTGCCAGGCCTAGAACCACTATTAATTTTAGAAAGTGTCTAGAGAACATACTGTAAAGCGAGAAGAAAAATATGGTAATCAATTATTAAGTTAATTTTAGGAGCACAAACAGAGGTAATCTTTAGAAAGTTTCTTTGCAGAAAGCAAGGCCTGCACTTCTACTTTTGCAGTGACTGTGTTTTATGTTTTCTTTTTCAAAGCAAGCACAAAGAGCACCAGCTTCCATACTGCTCCGTTTGGGACACACATTTGGAAGCCAGGATTTCATAGTGATCCATCACTTAACTTACTGGTATTTGTAACATGTTCTGAGATTTCTGAAAAGCTTTTACAGGGAGAATTTAATAGTAACACTTGTGCACCATATGTCACTCAATTCTAGGCTAAAGTACAATTTTATCATTGTTTCAGTGACTTTTGTGAAGACTGAAAGATCAGAGCACATGAAATGAGAGTTAGTCACAACACCTTACCTCTCTAGTTAAAAGAACATTGCGTCACCCACAGCTTCTTAGTATTAGCAAATAGGCTTCTATTTATATTTCTCTAAAAAGTTTTTTGCTACATGAATCAATTTTCTGTTAACTTTTGTTTAAATTCCAGATTCACAGGAAGACTGGACAGAACATTGTATTTCATCATATCTGTTTATTAAAGTCACCCTCTGCCAGGATCTGATAAAACAAAAAGTTAACAACTAAACCTGTCTAAAAAGTTTACTGATAGAATTCATCAAAATAATTCCTTCTAAGACCTGAAACAGTGCTTTAAGGATGTTCCCCCCAAAAAAAGAGAAAAAAAAAGTATTCTGACTGAACACTGAACTATTATTGTACATACCCACATCTTTGACTTTCTGCTGCATTAATAATAGAGCATATTAGTTTTGAAATATCTGAAGTGAATGGTTCATTAATTTTTCACCTTAAGCTTAATAGAAATTTGACAAACAGTTTTATGCTGAGAATAGATACTCCAAGCAGGACTTCACAGCACATGATGGGAATAAATTAGAGCATAAAAGACAGAATAATGTGTATTTGGTCAAATAAGATGGTTCTGTCATTCAATTGCCTGAAGTGAAGTTAGTTCAATCCATTTCCATGAAAGTGGCATTTTTTACATTTAAGGATTCCCAGCATAAATGCCTTTGTCAGCGCTTGATCTTGTATTTAACACGACAAAAAAAGACATATAAATTGGCATGTCATAGACATCTCTATTCTTTGTGCTTTGAACTCGTACACAGCATCCCCCCAACTTTGCTGATAACATTCAACAGCTGTTACCTTCCACTGACTCTCATGTAGTTAGGCACAATGATTTATTCTTCACTGCAAAATCAGTTTATCTGTGGTTTTACTGATTTACATCTATCCAGACAAAGGGACTGTGCAGTGCCTACAACAGAGAGATTCCACCAGCTGGTTGGTGGCCCCAGGTACTAAAAATCACATCACTACTGGTAATCATAATAATTTTGCCATGCAGCAGCTACTTGATTAAATCTTCAGCTACAGTTGCTAACAATACAGTCGATGAGCAGCATTTTTAAGATAGACATAACTCTTCTAACTCAAAAAGACTTCAATTAAGCCTTCACATCCCATTTAATCTCTGATATGAAATGTATCCATCAGCTACACCTCACAAAGTCACTGACTTTTTTTTCCTTCCTAAATTTTCTCTTTGAACAAAGGAAGAAAAATAAACTGATTCTGGCTGTTACTTCTTGCTGTAAATGGATACAGTTAGAATATTGACCCAGAAAACCTGATGCTGTTCTGCAAGCACTTATGAACAGGAAATTCTGGGAAGGCTCACCCCCACCCCCACCTGCTCAGTGTTTGGACTTTAAAAGTCAGACATATAGTTTTCTGCATATAAAGTCAAAAAGAGACCTCTTCTACTAACAAAATTGGTGCTGAACACCCCATGGTGTTTAAAATGGCAGTAAGAATGGATTTTATTCATGGGAAGGAGAAGACCATAGCTTCAGACTTGGAGAGTATCTTGAGATGTAGAAGCTAAAAAAATACCAGCAAGAGTAAGAAAAAAGTAACTGATACAGAAAAATGTTATTCAAGAGAAGAGTAGAACCTGGAGCAAATGCCTCTAGAGTAGAACTGGTAACAAAAGTTTCCCGCTACGTCTTTATTCAGTTCTCTATGAATTATCCACTAGAATTACAGTGTGGAACATGTCACTTT